ATTCAACTTTTAAGCTATGTGCATGTATAAAATCGTTGATTACCAGCTCCTCTTATAAGGAAAGGAAGACCCAAGGCAGAGAGACTCCTGCCTCCCAAGGGGCAGAATATAGACACACACTCAGGTCACTGCGTCTCAGGCCAGAATATTTTTTCATGGGCGGGGCTGGTGACTAAACGCCTGCTGATTATTGCTGTTGTTGTTATTGCTGTTAGATTAAGACATTTTTAGACTATTTGAATAAAATTGACCTTCCCTCATTCTGATCTGTACTAATAACTGCACCTTTTTTTAAAATTCATTCAATTACAAGCAAATTGACAGGAGACATTTATATAAGGCAGCTAATGGAGTGCCTAATGACTAATTGATCAGATCCCAACCCAGAGAGCAGCTCTGAGTGGCCTAAAGGAATTTATGCAATTAGTTTAGGTTTGGGAGAAATTGAGTGCATATGAAAGTAAGCTTTTTATGGTCTTGATTTATGAGGGCTGGACATTAACTATATCTGCCACGTGGTGAACTGCCTAGGAAAGCCGCGGGGGCGGGGCGCCCCGTCCAGGGCACAGACGCTGGGGTTCCAGTCGGTATAGCTGATATGCGTCTAGGGTTTAGGGGGGAAGAAAGTGGAGGAAAGAGAGGTGAGCTTGGGGGTGCGTTTTCAGCAAGAGGGCAAAATTAACTTCATTTCACCTTCCCTTTGCAATTCTGATTTTCCCAGGACGAACACGTGGAATTTGTGTGAAGCCCTAGAAATAAAAATCTTTTATATATTAGAGGAAACAGGAGAGGAGAGAGAGACCCAGAAGGGAGACAGGGGGAGAGGGCGGAGGAGAGGGCGGGATCCCCGGCTGGGCGGGCCTGCGGAGGGGCGGATTGAGGAGCTCCCACCCGGCTGGGGCAGCGCTCAGGGCTCTCCGGGCGCATCGGGGTCTCGCCGCCAGGGAAGCCCCCTACCACCGAGGCGCCGGCGGAACCCGCCCCCGGGAGCCCTGGGAGCCGGGCTGCTGCGGAAGCGGGCAGCGCCGTCGCGGGGCGGAGGGAAACCTGACCCCCCGGAAAGGGCGATCGAAGGGGAGACGCCTGCGCCGGGCCCGGCTGCTGGGCAGCCGGGCGGGGAGGGGCGCCCGGGGAAGGGGCGGCATCCACGTGGCGGCGCTCGGTGGGGTCAGAGGTGGGGAGCAGGGCGGGGAGCGGGGCGCAGCACGGACGCGCAGCGGAGCCTGACGCCGGGGGCTGCGCCGGAAGAGAGGAGCTGCCCTGGCCACTAGGACCCGCGCCCCGAGGTCGCCCAGCCTGCCCTGGTTGTGTCTGTCTTGAGCACATTGCCATGTGCGTGACTTGTCCTGGGCACATTACATAGACCTTCTGCACCTCCGCGTTCTCATCTGTAAAATGGGATTGTAAATGATGTCTACTTAGGGTGGTGCTTAGGAACTCCGACTAAGCGCTTGGAACGGTAACACGGAAAGCCCTCCGTGCCGTTCAGATCTTGTCACTCAGGGAGAGGCCGGTAGGGGCGGCTCACTCCACCCGCGCCCGCTGGGGCTCGGGGAACAGGGAGCCGCCCGGCGAGCGCGCGTAAGCACCTCGTGGCCGTATAACTGCGGAAGACCTATTTTAAGTAAAAGGGGCCAGCAAAGTCCCTCCCACTCATCTGATACAAAACTATTTTAGCTGTTCGGTCCTAGGCTCTGGGTTTCCGGCCCTGAAGCCAAAGGTGGAAACAGGGAGAGTGGAGGGTTGAGACTCCAGGGCCAGCGCCTCCTTTTCCCATTGGGAACCTTGTTCCTCGGGACTTCATGGCCATGAGCATATGGCCCGTCTAGAGGAAGTCCTGGACTCAAGAAGCCACCAGCTGGGGCCAAGCTTTCAGTGGGAACTTTGCATACTTTCACCAAGGTCAGAGATTTGTTGGTCCCCTCCACAGCAGGCTTCTCACACTGTAGAAAGAAAGCGGCTTCTTTAACATTTCCATCGTGAGTGGTGACCAGGTCAGTGAGCTGAGAGCACCGCGTTCCTGGACGGACAGACCAGGCTTCACAGAGGGGAAACACTGAGTCCACCTGCTTCCCTTTTCTGAGTATGAGGGCCAGTTTAAATCAACTAGATAGTCACAATTGCCCACCACGGTTTAGGCCCTGGCCTTAGGTGGTTTCACACCATCAGAGCATCCTGAGTCTTTTCCTCCAGTTTTATAAATGAAGGGCACTGAGGTCACCCTACAGAAGAGCAGTTGTTCTGCGCTTCTGACCATTCCAGGGCCAGAGCTGTGCCCACCTCAGCAAGAGGGCAAAAGAGCCAGGCCCAAGAGGGGGCCAGACACGGGAACTCAGGCCAGGTCCCCCTCTGACTCTCCGTGTAGATTCCAGAGGCAGCGCCTGTGTGTCCATCCAGGATCACGGCCAAGTGAGGTGCAGCCTCTTCTGTCTGAGCAGGAAACTGGCTGCCCTTACATGGACGTGAGTGGGGAGGAACACCAGCACCTGAGGCCCACTCCCAGGAAGGCTGCTGAGCCCTATGGGCTCTCTTGTTTCCCACAAAGCCTAAAATGCAGGGGCAAGTGAGTTTTCATTTTGCAAAACAAAACTCATTCGTTCATTCAGCAAATATGTGTTTTCCTACTGTCTAGGCCAGGCTCTGAGCTGTGCACTGGGCATGCCATAGTCAACCCAACGGACACAGAAAAAGGAAGCCACTCGCCAGACAGAGGTCACGCAGCTTAGGAGCGCGCGGGAGTCCCACTCCCCCGGGCTCTGCTAGTGTGTACCCCGTATCCCTTCAGACAGGTCCCTACTCAAGGACTAAGGTTCTAGACGCTTCCCACGGGTCCCCAGAGGACTCTCAAAAAGTCTCTCCCACAGAGACCCGCTGCAGCTTTTTATTCAAACAACTCAGAACCCTGGCCTTGAAACAAGTTAAAGTAACTTGCAGCTGGCTGCGTCTTGAATAGTAAATGTTGCAAGCTGGCTGGACCTGAGAAGGAAAAAAAAAAAAAAAAAAAAAAACCTGCCGCCGGTGCTCAATTAGGCTGCAGAATAAATTTTTAGCTTTACATCCGTCAGCACAGGCTTAGGGAGGCGATGCGACTTAACCGCGGTCACATGATTAGGAAGTGGCCCCACTGGGGCTGCAAACCAGGACTGTGTGACCCTCCAGCCCGCTGCTGCACCCTCCCCCAAGAGGGGTCTGTGCCTCTGCCGGACAGACGAGTGGCAGAGGCGACTGCACAATCCCGGGGAAACCACATCTCCCTTGGCTTCCTGAGCGAGCCGAAAGAGAGAGGCCGCGGCGCCGACCCGTCGCACTCAGGGGGAAGGGAGCGGGTGGGACGCCTCAAAGCCGGGCCGCGGCTCCAGCCTGCGGGTGCAAACTGCTCGGAGGCCTCGGCGCCTGCACTGGATGAGGCGCGCAGTGCCCGTCAGGCGGCTCCTCTGGCCCACCCCAAAAAGTCTCTCAAACTTTTGCTGTTGATTTTTTCTTTAAATTTTTGAAATAAATAACAGCAGGGAACTTTTCGAAAAAGGAGTGGTGGCTCACGGGCTTTTTCCCTGGCTGGGAAACCCGAAGGCTCTTACCTGCTAGAAACTTAGCAGCCCACAAAGGCGCGTCCTCCTGGAGCGCTGCGCTTCGGTGCGGGGCGCTCACGGCCGCCTCCTCTGCAGCCCGGCTGGGCTCCGGCCCTGTGTTTTATACCACTATAGGCAATTAATATTGCATCAGCCGTATTTTAAATTTTCAAAACCCACAATATAATGTAATGGCATAAGGGCATTTATTATTAAAGGACACCCGATGGAGAGGGAGGTGGAGGAATCGCTGGGGCTGTTGAGCAAAGCGGGAGCGAGGGGCCGAGGCCCAGGAAGCTGGGGGCTGCCCACAAGTTCGCTTCTGCCGTGGGGGTCGAAGGAGGGGTACCGCGAAAAGCGGAAACCTACTCTGCTCCAAATCGGGCCGACATCTAACGACCCGGAGCTCTTGGAGGATTTAGCGGGAAAATGTGCAGACGACTCCGGGGCTGGTAGCATTAATTTTTAAATTATGAAGGTGTTTTTGCGGCTTGTAAATAAAAAGGTTTCCTCTTCCCTTTAGAGGAAAAGAAAAGAAAGGTGGAGACTGGCAATGGTTGAGCGCCTACTGTGTGCAAAACGGTACACGGGGTGTTTTGAATCGGTGCTCGCAAGTTGATAGCTCCACAGAGAAGCAGAGATGGGCTATCCTGAAGGACAACTTCACTTGAATTTTTAGGAGATCTGGAAATCTCCAAAAGACACTTGTCCTTCCGACCAGACCACTATTCTCCTTTTTTATCTCGATTCCTCATCTCCTCCTCGGTCCTTTCAATTTTTAAAAATAATTTGTTCCCCAGCAAGTGTCAAACACCATCTACCAGATGCCTTCAGCAAACAGTCCCACCTCGTCTTGACAATAACCACAAGCGGTGGGTGTTAGTTCTCTATTCCGAAGATAATCTTGTCAGAGAAGGTTTAGAGAAGTTAGGAAACTAGCCTGGGGATAGAGGCAAGGGGGCCGAAATACCCACCGTCAGACTTCAGAGTATCTGATGCTAGTCAAACTGAGCTAATAGTTGACAAACTGACTCTGGGTAGTGGGGAGAAAAAGTGCCTTGAAATCGTGGCACCCAGGGAGGAGCAACCATATTCCCTGGGGGAGAAGGGTGGGAAGAAGAGCTCTGGGGGGTGGTGGCTAGGAGGGACACGTCAGTCTGGCCCTTTTAGAGTCTCACTTTCGTCAGTCTGGCCCTTTTAGAGTCTCACTTTTAAGTCCTTCCCAAGGCTAATATCTTTCAGCATCTGAGAAGGAAAACCACTGCGATTCGGGTTGAAAAATAAAGCATTTATTTTAGAAGTTAATTCAGCAGGTGAAGAGAGAAAAAAACTTAATATTTTATTTGTATCTATTTAGAGAATGAAACCAAAGTTCACACACAGCAACACACAAACTACAATGAAGCAACGAAAAAATAAAATATGCGGGCAAAGGGGCTGGTATGTGAAGGGTCCAGGTTGGTGGTCCAGTTCTTCTTCCCGCCAAAACTGTAAATGAACCTCTACCAAGAGACATTCACATGAAAGGGAAGGAAAGAAGCGGAGTTAAATAAAGAATAGGAATGAATGACGATGCTAACAACAGTAATAAAAGAGCAACTGAGGTTAGATGTGTTGGGAGGACTTGCATACGAATCGGAGAAGTTAGTCACTTTTGAAGCACTGGGCTGACAGTCAGGCAAGAACAGTGAACCGAGGTGGGAGAATCCTCGGCAGGGAGGATCCTGAACTCTACCAACCCCTGCTCTCCACCGGGAGGTAATTAACACGCAAAATCCATCAGGTTTGGAAGAATGGCCAGAGCTGATATTGGCTGCTGCTTGCTAATACCTTAGTGATCCCCAACTTTTTCAGTCACTGAACTGAATGCTTCTTTTCTGGGCCCTTACTTACCCCCAAACAACTCAGTGTCCCTAACTCTCCGTACACTTGCCCTGAACCTAATCAATACTATTTATGAGAATTTATGACAAACCAAAGGATACGATGGGTAGAATTTAGGTGAAGGGAGTATAAGGCTATCCTTTGGAAACATACGTGTATTTTATATACTCTAATAAATCTCCAGTACATGTTTGTGTTCTGCTTAGATATCCTAGACTTTATATTACTATTATCGCATCCTTTCCACTGCTTCACCCCTTGCCTAATCGCCCTCGCAAAGTGGCGCTTTCACCCTGGCGTCGGGCGGCGGGCTCAATTCCCCGGCCTCGGGATCTGTGGCTCCTGCCCCGAGGCACTCGAGGGCGCGTTTCAGCACCACGGACAGCACAAAAGTCCCTCCGGGCTCACCCTTCTTGAATTCTTTTTCTGAGTGCCAAAACTTTCTTGGTGAGAATAGAAAGGAATAAAAGAGAAGGAGAAGACGGGGGAAGCAACTAGGTGAGATACCGGGGAAAGTCTGTGGCTTCGGGAGAGAGAGCCTGACCTGCTAGGAAACACCTTCCCCATAACCGTCCCTCCCATCGGAAGGGGGCGATGCGCGCTAGACTCTGCCGGCTCCCGACGCTGCGCCCCGCTGCAGTCAATGGACAGCCGAGTACTTCATTCGTTTCTGTTTCTGTCTCTGGTTACAGAACCAGACCCTCACCACGTTCTTTTTAAGGTCCAGTTTCTCCGCGATGGCCGCGATCTTCTCGGATGAAGGACGTGGCTGAATGGCGAAGTAGGCCTCTAGTGAGCGCTTCTCCGGCGCGGCTATGGACGTGCGTTTGCGCTTTCGCTCACTGCCGTTGAAGAGCTCCGGCTTGCTGTTCTTCTCTCGGTATGCGGCCTCGGCCTCCTCCAGCCAGGCCTGCAGCACCGGCTTGAGCGCGATCATGTTGTTATGCGAAAGGGTGAGAGACTCGAACCTGCAGATGGTGCTCTGGCTGAGCGAGCCCACGCCGGGGATCTTGAGATTGGCCAGAGCCGCGCCCACGTCCGCCTGGGTCACTCCCAACTTGATGCGCCGTTGCTTGAAGCGCTCCGCAAAGGCCTCTAGCTCGCGAGGGTCTGACTCCACGTCGCTGAGGCATGCGGGCATGGCGCTATGCGGCGCCACGGCGTGCGGGTGACTCATGCCCATGGCTTGGTGCAGGTGGCCCATGGCGCCCAGGTGGTGCGGGTGGATCTGCGCGGGCATCACCGAGTGCTCCGGGGCGCCCAGGCCGCTCACGCTCAGCGTCGGTGAGATGTGCTCCAGCAGGTCGCCTTCGAGGCCCTGGTGGACAGCGTGGTGCGGGTGCGAGGTGAGGGCGGCCGGGTGGGAGATGGGCACGGTGGAAGAAGTGGACGTGCAGGGCACGCTGCTCATGGTATGATAGGTGGCGTCGGGCTTGAACGGATGATTCTTGCCGTGGGAGACGATATCCACCGCCGCCAGAGCTTCGGCGCGTGCCAGCAGGCTCTCATCAAAGCTTCCAAATATATTACCCTGCAGCTGCAAGCGAGAAGGCGCACAGCACGGTCAGTGGGGAATACTGTCAACTCAGGATTAAAACACATTTTCAAGCAACCGAGATGCCTCTCCTCAAAGCCCAGGTCATAAAAATTAATACGGAGGCAGCCGCGCTGCTGGAACAGACGTGTGGATCAGAGACATGAATGAGAGAGAGCGCCGGGAGAGAGCGCGGGGGAGACGAGGAGAGGGGTTCAGACAGCGGCGATTGTTCCGGGCGACATGAAAAAAACATGAAGCCAGTGCCTATCAAAAAATGTGCCTTAGAGCGCTAATTATGCTCCACTACGTACCTGCGGGGCTGGGAGACAGACTCGGCGCATGGCCTCGGAGCCAGAGTGCAGGCTGGAGAATTTGGGTTCTTGCAGCACTGGGTGCATGCCGAAAGGCTGCTTGGCGTTCATGGCCATCATCTTCGCGTGTCTGGCGGGGAGGCAGCGGGGGACATGGAATCAGGCTCGCCTCGCTCGCTCGCCGCGCTCCAAGTGAGCGCCGCTCAGCGCCCGCGCTCCCCTCGCCCTCTCGCTCGCTGCCTCCCCTCTCCCCCACCTGCTTCTTCACTCATCTTACAAGCAGCCTGCCAGAAGGGGCCCGGGCGCGCGCAGGCGTGCACACGCGCCCGGGACTCACAGGAGCGGCCCGGGAGGCGAGGCGAGGCGAGACAGCAGCTCGCGGCGCCGCTCCGCGCCCGCAGCGCCCGCCCCCTCCAGGGCATTTATACCCCGCCGGGCCGGGCCGGGCTCCCGGGTCCGCCCCGCCCCCGCCTGGCTCCAGCCTGCCCGGCCTTCCTGATTCTTTCTTCTTCGCCCTGGACCTTTTTGCTCCCTCACAGTCTCAGACCTCTCTGTCCTGCCCCAACTCGGAGTGCCTTGGGGCAGGCTCTGACTGGGGGAGCAGAAAGTGGACCCCACTCCGACCATACACACACACAAAGTTGGCCCGGCTGCCTCCAGACTGCCCACTTGCAGGGCTCCTGGCCCCAAGCCCGGACCGTCCAGCAGAGTCCAGCGGCTGAGCGAAGGGACTCCACCGAGAGCCAGCGCGAACTGCTGCTAGAATAAGCCCCCGTGACCCACCCGCTCCACCCCCCAGGCTCCCAGGCGCGGGTGGGCCCGGATCCTGGCCCCGAGGCCTGTGGCTTCCGCCCTGCATTTGCCTTTCTTGTTTTCTTTTGAGGATGACCAGCGATCCCCCTCTCCCTTTCCCGAGTCCTCCAGTCTAAGAAAGTTTGCTGAGTGTTCTCTAGACTAGTGAGAGTTCAGAAAAAACCCCAGAGTCTCCAGAGCACTTCTGCTGGGCTCCCAAGGCTCACAGGCCCTATTTTCCACCAACAACAGCTACTCTTTTGGGGAGCTACTGATTAGTGCTAGCAGTTTAGAGTTAGCTTATGGGACCCTCATACCACCCTGTGGAGTAGACACTGTTATGGCACTATACAGATGAGAAAAGCAGGCCCTGCCGGATTAGCTCAAAGTCACTTGCTTTGAAGTAGAGCCCTGTGATCACTTATTCAGTATCAACCTCACAAATATTTACTGACAACCTACTGTGTGCGCCAGACTCCAAATCTGAGCTCAAGACCTCATAGCTCCTAGTCTTCCTTAAATTTCGGGGCCCCACAGTTAGTTCTACCTCACACCACCACCACAACCATCACCACCACCACCACAATCCAGCTCCTTGGCCCCTCTTCACACTGTTCTGTGCACTCCCCCTAACTAGTAAACATTGTGAATAATGGATGGGGAATCCTGGGACTGCGGCAGCAGGCTGGAGAAAACCCCGTTTGTATGTTGTATCCCCTGTCCTGCAGTCAGCCGTCACCTCCTCCTCCCCGGGAGAGGTCCCCAGGTTTGTGGGAAGCCATCCTGCCTGCTAGCTCTGTGCCCAGAGTGGGCGCCTGGCTTCCCAGAATCTTGACACGGAGACTGGTGGAGGGAACTATCCCTTGACCTAAGAGGAAATCCTGCCTAGAGCCTAGCGCCCCTCTCGGCTTGGGACCACCCCTTTCTCTTTCCATCCACACCAGCTTGGGGTCCTGGTTTCTTCCCTGAGGGATGTGAAAAATACTCAGCCCAGCTGAAGGAGGCCAAGAGAATTGCCTTGGCCAAACCTCTCAGACTAGGTCCTAAGGTAGGAATTTCCCTCCTGCATGTTTTCTTGGGTTTTTGAAGACTTGTAAAGAAAGCAGTGACACTGAATTTAGGGTTCAGTACACTTCACAACCTGGTTTCCCCCTTATCCAGGCTCTGTCTCTCTGGCTGTGACCAGGAGACCATCCTTCTCAATGTCTGTGTTCTGTAGAGAGTGTCCCCAACCCTACACTGGCCATGACTTTATCCCCACTGATTGTGGTAGGAAAGCACTGAGATAAACCCTTGGCACAGTGCCCAGTACAGTGGAATCATTAAATAAATGTCAGTTCCTCTCTTCTTTCTCAACTTGAAGAGAAAGCTTTTGGGAGTGGGAGTGGCCTAAGCACCCCCCACCCAAGTTCCTCTGCATGCTTCTTTCCATTCTTTAGCACCTGCTTCCCCCAACCACCACCAAAAAAATATCAAAGACAACCACAGACCTGAGTCACTGAGTCACACTCTATCCCAGCCTTCAAGGAGTCATGAGTCTAGCTCTGACTGCAGGAAACTGACTGTCCTGCTGGCAGGTCAGTAGAGGGGCTGCAGATCCACGCAGAATCAGAGCAAGCCTGTGAGACTCTTGACAGGCACCTCACAACTTTGGTGCTTAGAGGGGCTGGAGTTGAGGCTCTGCAGTCTGACCTGCCTAGGCCTCAGGTGCTAGATGCTTCTAGCTCTAACAAAAGACTGGTTAAGTTGAGCAAATCTTGAGTTTCTGTCCAGGACCCTTAACTTCCCAGAAGCCAAATGCAGCATTATTTCAACCCTCAGTAACATTTAGGACCACTCAACCTTGGCTCCTTTCTCTGTGGCAGCCTATAGAGAAAGTGGCAGGAGGGGATATGAGATTGGTACCTGGCCTGTCCATGGCACCTTAAGATCACATAACTCCATGGTGGCCTTGTTGTCAGTGAAGCTGAACCCTCAGAAACTGGGAGATACAGATCCACCATGCACTCTTCCCTGCTCTGTTTCCTAAGAGGCCTGGAAGACATAGACCAAGGTCAAGGTTAGGCAGAAGCAGAGTACAGCCCACTATGGGCCTAGCTTTATACATCCAGAGCTGGCCTTTATCTCACTGCCCCACGTCTAGCACCCCCAGGCACTAGGACCACAAATCAGGAAACATCTCCCATTCTTCCCTCCCAGGTTTCCTAGCAAAGCCTGTAGCCAGCAGTAAGCTGACACCATCACTCAGGACCAGCTTCCCTAGGCGGCCCCAGAGATAACAGACTGGAGAATGCAGGGAGACACGCACCACACGGAGTACAGCCCTTCCAACAGACAGTTAGGGATGTCTTCTGCATTCAGTTTAGGTCTGGTAAAATAAATTAGCAACTCCAGCCAGGGACATAAAAAAGAAATTGGACTGTGGTGAACTGAGGAGCACATGCTCACCTCCATGGTGTTAAATTACAATTGAAACCTGCCCCCCTCTCTTCTCTCTCTCTCTCTCTCTCTCTCTCTCTCTCTCTGTCTCTCTCTCTCTGTCTCTCTTTCTCTCTCTGTCTCTCTTTTTCTCTCTCTCCCTCTCCGTCTCCCTCTCTTTCTCTGAATAAAACCTGTTTTAAAGTCCAAGTAGTAGAGATCACATGGGCATAAATGCCAGTGGTACTAGAACAGGTCATACTCTTTCCACAAGTATTTCCTCTTCATTATTCTGTAAATATTTCAGAATAGTACTGACAGATGAGTCTCACAAGCTCTGCAGGTAAAGAGAACACTGTCACAGAAGCCCAGAGAGTAGGGGAGACATTGAATTGCCACATGTAACTCTTAAGTCAGTACCCAAAGCACTATTCCCTCAGAAGGACTAGCTTTATAGAGGATCAAGAGGATGTCAGGAAGGAATCTTTTCCTGGGGCCAAGGCCTGGCCACTTCAGTCTGCGTAGCAATCACCTGCAGTCTTTAAAGTGCAGTCCTCCAAGAGCACAGCTAGAGTTTTGGATTCTGTAATACACAGCCCTTCCTTGAATGCAGGTGACTGGGGACTCTCAACCTGTGAAACTAACTCAGGATGCTTATAACAGGACTCGTTATTGTTAGTGTAATTGTTACTGTACTTATCAGCTTAAAGCTCTGTCCTAATCCTGAATGTTATAGACACTCACAGAACTTTCTTTAAGCTCCCTATTTCTTTTGCATTTTCCTCTTCATATCTTTGTGAGAACATAAAATTTTATTATCTCTGTACCTTTGAGGATGAATCTTGCCTTTCTCTGGGTTTTCTGTGCCTGTGGACCAAGCCCTATGCAGGAGCTCAATATTACTTGTGATCATTATGGACTGCAAACATATACCAATAAAAAATAAAACTTGGAAAAAGAGTTACTTGTATTTAAAGAATGAGTGGATGAATAATGCTCCCGTGTCCCAGGACAGGGCTCTGGCTAGGTGCCTTCGATGTGTTGCACACTGAATTTCCCCCCTGAGTCTGTGAGGCTGATATTGCCTCTTCCATTTTACAGATAAGAAAACTGAGGCACGGAGCATAGACTGCACAGGCCAAGGCAAGGTGGGAACCTAGGTGTATCTCACGCTCTTAACTGACATACTGAGTTGGCACTAGTCACCCACCACCCACGCCGGGGACTGAGGGAGCGGGTGAGCAGGGTTTTGCTTCTCTCCCTGGCTTCCCGGTCCTCGCTCCGGAGGCTGGCCGGGCTCCAGGCTGGCTTCCGGCAGAGGAGCCTTGAAGCAGCCAGCAGCCACCCCCAGCCACCTCCATCCCTGGCCGAGCCCCAGCCTGGCGCGTTGGAAAGGGGGCGGGAGGGTGCAGTGGAGATGGCCCGATAGGACCCGCCGCCCGAACTCAAGATGCCATCGCGGAGAGGCAGCTGGCCGGGCTGCCGGGCCAGGTGTTCCAGCCGCCCGCCTGGCCTTGCTCTCCCTTTCTCTCCTCCCCTTTCACAAACTTCTCACATGTACCGCCGCCTGCGCAGCTGCTGCGGGACTCGCCTGCTGGCCGCTGCCTCTCATTGTCTGCGCGGGCTCGGAGGATCCGAGATGCCCAGAGGGACTCGGGAGCCCGAGGCCAAGCATCCGCGCTGGGTCGGCACGCGCCCCGCACCCTCCTCCCGCTTCACCCCCACCCACGTGGACAGAGCTGGGACCTGAACAGGCCCCTGCATCCTTCTGGCCTCAGTTTCTCCATTTGAAAAATGAGTGGATGGAGGAGAGGGATCTTGGAGAGTGCTCCAGTCTCTTTCATGGAATACTACTTACTGAGCACCTATTAAGCACCACTGGGACAGGAGATAGGGGTTTGACTGCAAAC